CATCGGCCCGTTTGTCCTGGTCCCGCCTCTGCTCCACCCTCCGGCCTCGGACCGCCCCTGCCCGTTCCGGAGCCATGGCCACGCCCCTGCCTGTCCTCTGGGTCTTGGTCCTGCTTCTCGCTCGGGCCTGGCCCGGTACCGATGAGGTCCTAGCCTTAGGCCCGCTCCGTCTGACGGGACTTCTCCCCACCCCTGTCCAGTCCTGGGTCGCCCCCGGTCTCCCCTGCTTCGGTTCCTCCTTTTCCTGGACCGAGGGGTGCGCCTGAGCCCACCCTCGGTTGCTCCTCCCTCTGGATCCGGCCCCTCCCCTCTCCCACGTGCCCTACCTTGGCCCCGCCCCTCCAGCTCTGGCTCCACCCCCTCCAGCCACGCCGCCCGGGTGAGTTGCGGGGGCCTGGCCTCCGCGGTCGGTAGTGGCTGGTGCAGGCTGGGGAGCTTGCAGAGTTTTCATCGTCCGCTGCGGCCTCTCTAGGGACTGCACCCTCCTCGCTCCCCAGCTTCCCGGGCACAAACTGAGATGCTCTGGGATCCTGGTTCGACCCGTTCTAGCAGCGCTGCGTCTGATCGCTCCCGCCTGGGCTCGCTCACTCCCGCCTGGGCTCGCTCACTCCCGCAGACCCCCGCCCCGTGTGTTGATACGCACGCGTCTGCCCAGCCCAACCTGGCCGTTTGGGTTTCCGGTTTACGCGTCCGCGGGTGACTCAGCATAGTAAACACAGTACTAGCGGCTACATTCAAAACAAAACAGAAACTTTTTAAATAATTAAACGTCTGGAAAAAGTACCAATATGGTTATAATAGGAAGAATTAGAACTTGGTCCTATTTTATAATTTAGTAGTGCTTCTATTTGTAAAGGAGAGGGCAGTGGTGGTCACCATAATCTTTGATATTTAAACCAACAAGATGTCTTCATCAGCCTTGCTTCCCACAGAAGCAGCGCCTCTACCATGTGCTGGTATGGACGCCAGGAGCAGTGTGTAAATACTCCATGAATATCACAAAACGCACCCGGGAAACTGGCCGAGCAAACTATGGATCCTGGAAAAGATGAAAAACAGCGCAAACCTATAAAAACTGTGGGGGAGTGGAGGGGAGGTGCTAGTTAATCAGAGCGGATGGGCGTCCGTGGCTGGGTGCCCCACTGCTGAGCAATGAAGGTTTGTGAAGCAGCTGAACCGTGTATGCTCCTCTTCGCTAGGCTGACCTGTATGTGTGTATATAATGTTAAAAAGCTCAATAATAATCCTTTATGTCTGTTAAATGCTTGGCAATGTGAAAGGGCTTCCATCTACATGTTTTTCTTTATTTCGTAGGGCCTATTCCCATTTCCAGATGAGGAAACCGGGGTTGTGTGTAACTTCAGCGAGGGAGTGGGGATTACCGCTCTGCAGCAGGGTAATGTGGAGGAGCGGCCCCAGGCCCACGGGCCTAAACACGATACATGGTTATTTCCGCTCACCTGCACCTCAGCCAGGCCAAGGCCTGGGTGGAGCTCTGGGGTCTACCTCATTTTCGGTTCCAATTGGGGCTGAAAGTCCTTGGGCTCCCTTCTCAGTAACACCCTTGCATCTAAACTCACCTGCTCTGACCTGCTCTCTCTACCAGTCCTGAGAAAGCTGTTCCTAAGGCAGGAAACAGGCTTCTCCTGCTCACATAACCGTCTAGATCTTTTGTCTACTAGCAAACATCAGCTCTGGAGGCCCACAAGCAAAATCAGTGTGTTGGAGTGTTTGGATTTCTTTAGGTCCCCTCGTCCCTGATGCTGTGGAAGCAGAATGTCTAAAACCCAGCCAGGGAGCAGCATGGTCACTCTGCCAAGAAAGCTTCCTTCCTCTCAAGCGTCCTTTCCCGGGAGGGCAGGGGGTGATGCCTCCACCCAACAAATGAGTTCCCAGGAGCATTTTATTTTATCTTATTTTAATATATTTTTATTGATTTCAGAGAGGAAGAGAGAGTTAGAGACATCAACCATGAGAGAGAATCATGGATCGGCTGCCTCCTGCACGCCCCCCACTGGGGATTGTGCCCACAACCCAAGCATGTGCCCCTGACCAGAATCGAAACCAGGACCCTTCAGTCCACAGGCTGATGCTGTATCCACTGAACCAAACCAGCGAGGGCCCCATGAGCATTTTAGAGGCTGCCTAGATCACTAGCCTTCCACAAGGTTCTAAGTGGGCAAGTAGGAGGTCCAAGCTTAATTGTAGACACTGAGCAGAAGCGTCATGAATACAGAAAACAGAGTTGTCACCGGGGACAGCCCAAGGTGACACAGCCAATCATTGCGTGTACCGATGCTCTTCCCTATTGTAGACCAGTGTCAGGAATCTAAAACATTTCCCAGTCTCCCCTCCCACTACTGCTATCACTCTTCCCTCCTCAAAATCAAATTTTGTGATCAATTGTCTACACTTAATGTTTTCATTTCTTCTCTTAAGTCCATTCCAAAATAGTTTTAAGCCCAGCTGGCATGGCTCAGTGGTTGAGCCTCTACCTATGAACCAGGAGGTCATGGTTTGATTCCCTGTCAAGGCACATGCCTGGATTTTGGGCTCAATCCCCAGTTTGGGGTGTACAGGAGGCAGCCGATCAATTATAATCTCTCATCATTGATTTTTCTATCTCTCTCTCCCTTCCTCTCTGAAATCAATAAAAATATTTTTTAAAACTATGGTTTTAATCAAGGTCATCAGTGACCTTGTCCATAAGTCATAAATCCGATGGATACTTTTCCATCTATATCTTGCCAAGCCTCTTAGCAGAATTCAACACAGTGGGCTCCTCCCTCCTCCTTGAATAGTCTTCTGGGTCCATATGACATAACACATGTTCCCCACCTGTGTGTCTAGCCAGTCCTCCGCCTCCTTCACTGGCTTCCCTTCCATTGTCCTCCCTTTAAGATGTTCCTTAGGACTCTTCTCCCTGCATGCACTCTTCCTGGGTAGTTCATCCATTCCCATGGCCTCTGCCCCCAATGTCTTCTCAATCTGTATTTTTTGCATGGAATGTTCTCTAGACCTCCAGACTTCTATGTCCAACTCCATGTCCCACAGGAGATTGACTCAAATTCAGTGTGAATCAAACTGAAATCGTCTATCTTGCAAACCTTCTCTTCATCCTATGTTTCCTCCTACAGAGAGAATAGACACCGCCAGCCAGCCAGCCAGGGGCCCAATCCCAAAACCTGGTATCACTTTTTGGTGTGTAGGGGATGACGCTCCAACCAACTGAACCACCTGGCCAGGGCGGGAAGCTTGGAATTACTTTTAACATATTCCTCTTCTTGTTTCATCAGTGATTCTGTCAGATCCACATACAAAATGTCTCTCTGCCCCACCCCTCTGGCCGCCACACCGCCACATCCCAGTACAAGCTGCTCTCTGTTCTCCTAGACAACTGCTGTAGGCTCTGAAGGCAGCCTCCTGTTCTCGCTGCCAGAGGGAGCTTTTTGAATCCAAAATTGGGACGTGCCACCCTCTGGCTTAAAACCTTTCAATGAGTGCAGGCTGAAGTTCAAAGCCTTACCTCGGCATGGATGGCCCTCCTTGCCTAACACTTCAGCCCCATCTTTTGCTATTGCTCCACTGCTTGCTCTCAGTCCAGTGCCCTGAATTGCCTTCACAGAATTTCATTTCAAGTCCCAACTAAATGTCACTTCTGTTGGCCCTGGGTCAGGTTAGCTTGCTGCACTGCTAACAAACACTCACTCCTCAGAGGTGTAATTGATGAAATTACAATGTCTGTAAACTCCATGGGTGCAAACACATGTCTGCCTTGTTTGTTCTGTAGCCTCATGAGGAGCGTGGTTTCTGGCCCACAGTAGGTCCTGCATAAGTAGTTGTTGAATGAATAAATAACCGGGGTGCCCCTAAACCAAGACTGAAGACCAAGTAGGAGGTAGACCTATGAAGCTGGGACATCAAGGTTGATAATCCCCAAGTGGGGCAGTCCCCCTGACACCAGAGCCCCTCCCCAGGGATACCTGACACATTTCTGCCAGCAGAGGTTTCTGGAGTCAGTGGGTGCTCTCCAAAGTACACAGAGCCAGCCAGAAGGAACCCTTTTTAGCTCAGGTCATGATTAAATCACCCCCACATAACCTTTGTACTTGTTGGGTGAAGAGACCCACTCCCTGTGGCCTCAGACATCGAACCATTAAATGACTGTTGGGAACTTTCCAAAGTATCTCAGATGGTTTATCCTGGGAATACAGAAACGCTTTCCTTTTTGTGTTTTAGGTAGCAGGATTGGTGGGTTTGTGTACTAGGCTAGGGCGTGAGAGGGTCTGTGCTGCAGTTTCTTAGTTCTCTCCTCCCTGTCACCAATTCCATTAAAAGAAAAAATGAGCGTCAGAAAATAGAAAAGGGAGAAGAAAGAGGAATTGTGAGAATGACACAAAAAGGTTGTAGCTTGAAAGATGGA